ACACAACCTCTATGGGTGTGACCTCTGAGGGGCTGTTCATGCCTGAATTCAGTGGATCATTTTTTCCCTAGCTCTTTCCAACATTGTTACACGGTCTTCTATTCCTCTTTTTTCTCCTCAGTGGACCATTCCATTCCCATCTCCTCCTTCCCAACCATTTGCAAACACACACACATGCACATGCACATGCACACATACATGCCTGGGCTCAGAAACATGAACTTCCACCCTCCAAGGCTGACCTAACTATGACTACTGCTGAGTGCCCATTCTGCCAACAGCAGAGACCAACACCAAGTCCTTGATGTTGCTCCATTTGCCGGGATGATCAGGCAGGGTGATTCCATTGGACAGCTTCCACTGCAGAGGGGACAGTGTTTTGTTCTTACTGGAACAGATACTCTGGGTACAAATTGGCCCTCCCTGCATGCACTCCTCCTGTTGAAACTACCATCTGTGGACTTACAGTACCTCAGCCATTCCCATGCTGTTCCACATGGCATTGCTTATTATCAGGGAATTCACTCCACAGCAACTGAAGTGTGGCAATGGGCCCCTGCTCATGGAATTCACTGGTTTTACCATGATCCTAGTCATCCCAGAACAATTAGTCTGAAAGAACTATAGAATGGCCTTTAGAAGACTCAGTTACAGTGCCAGCTAGGATGCAATATCTTAAATGGCTGGGACAATGTTCCCCAGAAGGTTGTATATGCCCTGAATTAGTATCTAATATGTGATGCTGTTCTCTGATAGCCAGGATTTATGAGTCCAAGAATCAAGGGGTGGAAAAGGAAGTGATACCACTTACCATTACCTCTAGTGACCCACTAAGTACAATGTTTGCTTCCTGTTGCTGCTACTTTATATTCTGCTGGCCCAGAGAGCTTAGTTCCAGTGGGAGGAATCCTGCCACCAAAGATACAACAATGGTCCCATTGAGCTGGAAGTTAAGACTGCCAACAGATCACTTTGGGCTCCTCATGCCTCTGAGTCAGCAGGCAAGGAGTGGGTTACACAGTTGGTTGGGTTGACAGACCCATCCTGACCATCAAGGTGATCTGGACTGCTACTCCACAGTGGAGATGAGGAAAAGTATGTCCGGAACATAGGAGGTCTCTTGGAGCATCTCTTAATATTCTCGTGCCTGTGTCTAATGTTAATGGAAAACTATAACAACCCAATCTAGTCAGGACTATGAATGGCCCAGACTCTTTGGGGATGAAGATTTGAGTTGCCCTGACCAGGGAAAGAACTATAACCAGTTGAGGTGCCTGCTGGGGAAAAAAAGGAATGCAGACTGGGCTGGGTGCAGTGGCATACTTACCATCCCAGCCACTCAGGAGGCTGAGGCAGGAGGATCTCAAATTCAAGGCCAGCCTCTGCAACTTAGTGAGACCCTGTCTCAAAATAAAAAATAAAAAGTGTTGGTCTGGGGATGTAGCTCATTGGTAAAGCATTCCTGGGTACCAAAAAAAAAAAAAAAAAAAGCAAAATAAAAATAAAAAGGACTGGGAATGTAGCTCAGTGGTAAAGAGCTCCTGGGTTCAATCCCCAGTACAAAAAAAAAATTTAAAAAGAGAAGAAATACAGCCTGGGTAGTGGAAGGAGGTAGTTATGACTACCAGCTGTGACCACAAGACCAATTACAGAACTAAGGACTGTTAATGTCAGAAACATTTCCTCCTTATTTTTTCTGAATATGTTTGTGCATATATAGCAAATATCTTTTCTTCCTTTTTCATTGGTACCAGGGATTGAAATCAGGGGCACTCTACCACTGAGCCACATCCCCAGCCCCATTTTGTATTTTTTTAATTTAGAGACAGGGTCTCATTGAGTTGTTTAGCAGCTCCATTTTGCTGAGGCTGGCTTTGAACTCAGGATCCTCCTGCCTCGGCCTCCCGAACTGCTGGGATTACAGGCATGTGCCACCACGCCTAGCTGTCTTTTATTTCTTACCTCTATTATTCCCTTAGTGTGTAATGTAAGATAGGTTGACTTTAAGTCTTGTTAAGTTTACATTACAATATTTAAATTGTGGGATATTAAAGAACAGTAAATATCGCTCAAGGACTTCACCTCCTCTTCTGGGGAAGGACTTGTGCATTCTCAGTTGTATGCAGGATAGTTGGATCATGTTAGGTAAAATGATGATGACCTTTTTATTGCTTTCATTTGGAGATTAAATATGATTCAAGGAGAGGCATGTGAATGGCAAGTGGATAAGAGGTGAATTTTGATAGTTTGATGTTTCCACTTGACTGGGACACAGAGTTCCCTGATTAAACATTATTTCTGGGTGTGACTACCAGGCTGTTTCAGAAGGAGGTTAGCATTTGAATTGTGGACTGCAGATTGCTCTCCCATTGTAAGAAGGCCTCTTCCAATCCTTTGACAGTTTGAATAGAACAAAAGGTGGAGGGAGGGGGAATTTGCTTGCTGCTTGACTGCTTGAGCTGGGAAGTGTCTTCAGCCCTCAACAGGGAGCTATCCATCAGCCCTCTTGTTCTCAGAACTACACCACCAGCTCTTGTGGGCCCGCAGCTTGTCTGCAAAATGGCAGATTGTGGTACTTCTCAGCTCCCATAATTGTTAAGAGCCAATTCCTTATAATAAATCATATGTTGGTTCTCTTTCTCCTATTGATTCTGTTCTCTGGAGAACCCTAATAATCCCCAGCAATTCCACTTGTACCTCTAACACTGAACACAAGTGCACATAGTCATGTACACGAACAGTGGGGGAAAACTGTGAAAGGCCAAAGATTTGTGCAACCTGAAGAGAAACATGAGTGGGAAAATCTGCTGAATGTCCATGTATAGCCCCTGATCATTGCAGAGTGAAATGAATGATGGGGGATAATGCTCTGCCATAGAGCACCCTCTTCATGTAATACAGAATAAACGGGACCTGAGTGTACCCATGGGACTGTGTGCCTTCTACAGGACACTATGTAAACGAGGAAAGGCCAGATAGGGGGTTGGTTGCTGTGACCACGTGTGCATGAGGGCACATACAAATGCTATGTAGGGAAAGTATCTAAAAGTAAACACCAGAAATTGACCCCCAGTGGTTATTTTGGAGGAGTGGGGGCAGGGATGCCCTGCATAGTCAATGTACTGATGTGCTGTTCAAATCTTTTATACAAACCTGTATTTGCCTGTATTATTTGTGCAACTCTTTTTAAAGGAAAATCCTGTGCTTAATGTTCTCATATACAGAAGCTACAGCAAAATAAGGGGGAAAAGGGGAGGTTGGGTATCATAAAGACAGAAGGAATATCAATGGAGTTAAAGGAGATTGAGGAGGGAGGAGAGACAGGAAATGGGAGGAAATGCTAAATGCATTAACAAAATTATGCTCTGTGCATGTGTAAATTTACCACAGTGAATTCCACCTTTATATCTATAAAGCACCAATTAAAAATATATAAATGGGTGCAAGTAGACCGGTAGAGTAGAAGAAGGGGAATAGAGGGCAGGAGGAGAGGAGGGAAAGGGAAGCACTGGGACTGAAATGGATTAAATTAAACTCCATGCATGTATGATTATATCAAAATGAAACCAACAATTATGTACACATATAATGCACCAATAACAGAAAAAAAACAATACCCACAGTGTGAAACATTTGCGTTGGGTGGGGGGAGGATGTGTCTAGGAGGAAGAATCTCAAACTCACCTGTCCCAGGAACCAGACAGGTAACCTGTAAGAGCCAAGAGTGCTCAGCTCAGGGTGAGGAGAATGGCAATGGGCCAGGTGAATGTTCTCTGACTCTCAACAGTGAAGGGGGAAGGTGGGGTGAGGGCTGAGTATGGATGGTGGATGGGGAAGACCCCAGATTTTGTGCCCCAGTAGAATTCAGAAACATCACACTCTGGGGCACAAAACTCTGGCTTTTTGTTTGTTTGTTTGTTTGTTTGTTTTTGCAGTGCTAGGATGGAACTCAAGGTCTCGAGCATGCCAGGCAAGTACTCTACCACTGAGCTACATCCCCAACCCCAGAACTCTGAATAACTTAGAAATCTTCACTTAGAAGCTGGATTTGGTAGCTTGTGCCTGTCATACCAACTGCTTGGGAGGCTGACTTGAACCCAGAAGTTCAGGGCCAGTCTAGTCAACATAGAATAAGACCTGTCTAAAACAAAATAAAACAAAAACAAGAGAAAAGAAATCTTTTTAAAAATATTTTTTAGTTGTAGTTGGACACAATACCTTTGTTTTATTAATTTATTTTTATGTGGCACTGAGAAGCAAACCCAGTGCCTCACATGTGCTAGGCAAGTGCTCTACCACTGAGCCACAACCCCAGCCCCTAGAAAAGAAATCTTGATTCAGACACATACCCAATATAGAGTGGCCATACCCTAACTCAGACAGCTCATAACTCCACATGCTGGACACTGGCTCACATACAGATCAGAAGTATAGCTCTCTGGAGACAGCAACCCTAAATAGACAAGAGGCCTCCCAGCTGGGAATACTGGCCCCCTCAACCCTCAAATCTTTTTTTTTTTTTTGGTAACAGAAATTAAACCCAGGGGTGCTTAACCACTGAGCCACATCCACAGCCTTTTTAAATTTTCATTTTGAGAGACGTTCTCGCTAAGTTGCTGAGGACCTCACTAAGTTGCTGAGGCGGGCCTTTGAACTTGAGATCCTCCTGTCTCAGCCTCCTGAGTCTCTGGGATTACAGGTGTGCACCCCCTGCCTGGCTCCCTCATCACTTTTGGATGAGTGGTTTTTCTGTGTTATTGAGAAGGAACCCCTTACACATACACCTGGGTTTTACTTTCAAGGCTTTAAAGTTTCTTGGTTTGTTTTTCCAGTGGTGGGGATGGAACCCAGGGCCTCATGAAGCCCATGTTCTACCACTGAGCTACATCCTCAACCTCTCAAGACCCTAAGTTTTATGTCAGAGTCTTTGTACATGCACCACCTACTTCTGTCCCAACCAACAGTCAGTCTTCAGTCTGCGCCCTCCCATTCTTGCCCCTTGATCTCTGGGCACTAAGCCAGCGGGTTGTCTTGGAGGTGCTAGGGCAGGAACACCTACCCTGCCATGCTGCGCTGTCTGCTCTCCAGGCTGCCAGTCAGGATGTCGAGCAGGACTTCAGAAAATCAGGTGAATATGGCGGGCCCTGGGGTCCTAGGGCATGGCTGTAGACACCCAGGCAGGCTGGGGCTCTCCCAGCCTGGGGCTGCTAATCTGCTTCTCTTCTTCTCTGTGGGCTCCCCTGTTGTGCCGTCCTCCATTTCCCTATGCTTCTCTCTTGCTTCCTTTTTCAAAGACAAGCAGAGGGCAGCAGAGGACCATGGAAAGGCCCTGCTCAAACCCACAGAGGATTCAAGTGACATGTCTGCAAGACAAACAGGCAGAGGTCTGGCTGCTCTGCCTGGATGGTTCAGGGGGAGCCAGGTTAGTGTCAAGGACAGGTACAGAGACCCAAAGGTGACTCATGGAGTGTGTCCCTGAATCTGTCATGATAGAGCCCTATCAGGAAGGGCCAGGGAACAAAGCAATGACCTTGAGGTTTGCTAGAAGATTCCGAGACCTCTGATAGCCTAAAGGGGGCATTGAAAAAGACTTCAAGGAAGAGAAAAATCCTTTTCTGTGGAGAAGGCTAAAGGAAGGGGAATACTGTATTCTGGACACTTTGACTATATCTATTTATAGAGCTGTAGTGAGAAGGAAAACGGCTTCTAGATTTCTTTCTTCATTTTCAGTACTGGGAATTTAATCCAGAACCTCACACATGTAACACAAGTGCTTTGTCACTGAGCCACATCCCCATTCCCAAATTTTTTTTAAGTACTATGGATGGAACTCAGGGTCTCACACATATTAACACATATTACACAAGTGCTCTACCACAGAGCTGCATCTCTGCTCCTCTGTATAGTTTTTCTTTTCTTTTCTTTCTTTCTTTTTTTTTTTTTTTTTTTTTTTTTGTATTTGTAATTGAGCCCAGGGGTATTGGTACTGAGCTACATTCCCAGTCCTTTTTATTTTGAGAGAGGGTCTTGCTAAATTGCTAAGGATAGCCTCAAATTTGCCATCCTCCTGCCTCATCCTCTTGAGTTGGCTGGATTTAGAAGTGTGTGCTACCAGTCCTGGTCCATATTCTTTTTTAAAAAAAAATATATTTTTTAATATATTTTAGTTGTAAATGGAGAAAATACCTTTATATATTTATCTTTATGTGGTGCTGAGGATTGAACTCAGAGTCTCACCCATGCTAGGTGAGTGATCTACCACTGAGCCACAGCCCCAGATCCCCATATTCTTTTTTTAATACTTTTTTTAGTTGCTGATAGGCCTTTATTTCATTTATTTACGTATATGTGGTGCTGAGAATCGAACCCAGTGCCTCACACATTCTAGGCAAGTGCTCTACCACTGAGCCACAACCCCAGCCCCTCATATTCTTTTTGATAAGTGCTTAAAACAGGGGTCAGCACACAGTAAACCTTATATGATCACTCTGTCTGGATTTTCCGTTTTTTTCATTTATTCCTTTGTTTTGGTTATGTTTTTGGTTCTGAGGAGAGAACCCAGGGTCTGACACATGCTAGGCAAACTTTCTACTGAGCTATACCCTCAGTCCTCATCATCTTTTTATAAAATTAAGCTCTAGGCCTGGGGCTGTAGCTCAGAGACAGAACACTTGCCTAGCACATGTGAGGCACTGGGTTCAATCCTCAGCACTGCATTAAAATAAATTAATATACAAAAATATTGTGTCCATGTACAACTGAAAAGATTTCAAAAAAGAAGTTTGGTTCTTTGAAAAGATTAATGAGATATTAGCAATTTTTGTTTTCACTCCAGAAATTAAGAGAAACATGAATTATCCATATCAGGAAAGTATATGGGGCACTCTTAACAGATTCTACAGACACTGAAGGGTTAATAAGACTTTTTGAACATATAACTTTATTTTCAATGGAGTCCAAATGTCAGTCATTTACTTCTTGTGCTGCTTCTGTGTTCATTTGGATCCTCTGTATTTATGAAGAGAGCAGAACTCAGCAACTTTGCTAATGCCTCCTCCACTTACGAAATAGAACTACACAGGATGTTTTAGCTGGGGCTCAGTGAAATCAATTGTTTCGAATGTACTGGTTTGAATGGAATTAAACACGGTGGAATGGAAAACAATAAAATAGTGTCAAGTAGAATTTAATGGAACAGAATCGAATCCAATAGAACAGAACGGAAAGGAAGACAATGAAATGGAATAGAATAGAATATATCAGTCAAACTTTGTGTCAAGAACTGGAAATAGGGCTAGGGTGGTGGCTCAGTGGTAGAGCGTTTGCCTAGCATGTGCAAGGCACTGAGTTCAATTCTCAACACCACATATAAATAGATAGATAGATAAATAAATAAAGGTTTAGAAATGACTAAAAAACTACTTAAAAAAAGAACTGGAGGGCCAGGGTTGTGGCTCAGTGGTAGAGCACTCACCTAGCATATGCCAGGCCCTGGGTTCTATCCTCAGCACCACATAAAAATAAATAAAATAAAGGTATTGTGTCCAACTACAACTAAAAAAATAAATATTTTTTAAAAAGAACTGGAAATAATTGTTATAGTAGATATTCATTCATTGAAGAAATATTGAACTATTTGGGAAACAGCAGGAACATGATAGAAATTCCTACTCATATTCTAGGTAGGAAGACAGGTATTAGTATGTACAAAGGTTCTGAAGCTAAAGGTAGAAGGATGACCCTTATGAGGAACACGCAAAGATAGTGTGGCTTGGAGTTCAAAAGCCATGTATGGGGTTGGAGAAGTAGATCGGTATATAGCACTAGTTTAATATAAACAAGTTCCTAGGTTCCATCCCCAGCATGGGAAGAAAAAAGCAATGTATAAAACTATAGTTATGGTAATAAATGTGGATTATTTTTCTTTATTTCTTTTTTCGTGTGGTACCAGGGATTGAAACCAGGGCCTAGCATGCTTGGCAAATGCTCTACTAATGAGATACATTTCAGACCTTAAGTCTATTATTTTAAACACTGTACTACCTGTATTGCCAGACCATAGGCACATTATAATCCTACAGCAGATGTAATGTAAATTTAAAAAAAAAATACTAAAGAATGCAAGGCAAGAGAAGGATCTAGAAATAAGTGGAGAGGGAAGGAGTTGTGCCCGACCACTGGCTTTGTAAACACACATGCCCAGAAAGTTTTATCTCATCTGAGAGATATCCTTCTTGACCTGCCTTCTGTGATCATAGCTGCAGAGTGGATAAGGAGGTGACTAGGAAAAATTATCAATGGATGGCTTGTACTCAGTGTTGGACCTGTTTTGTGTGTTGTCAGTTCTTGGAAAAGAGAGGGATTCCAACTTGGGAAATACAAGGGAGGTTTGGCTTTAGTCTCCTCCCTTAATTTTCACTTATGTTCATCTGGAAGGAGAAAGAGAGAAAGAAAAGAGTGAAGGGGCTGGCGCTGTAGCTCAGTGGCAGGTGTTTACCTAGTGTGTGTGAAGCACTGGGTTCCATCTTTAGCACCACATACAAAATAAAACAAATAAAATAAAGACATGCTGTCCATCTATAACTACAAAAAAAAAATTAAGGGCTGGGGTTGTGGCTCAGTGGCAGAGCGCTTGCCTAGCATGTGTGAGGCACTGGGTTCGATCCTTATCACCACATAAGAATGGGCATGACAGACACATAGAATCTTATGAATCCATGCATGTATCCATTAGACTCTACTGACATTTTCCTTTGGGATTCTCCCTTTGAAATGGGGGTGGAAGTAATGCAGGGGGTGGGGGGAAAGCAGAAAACATGAGAGTCTTCAGTGGCAATGTGGTTTCACCTGACATTTTTTTACCTTTTAGTCAAGGAGGGACAGCTCTCAGACCCCTTCCCGGTGTCTTATCCATAGACTTGACCACATCGTGATGACAGTGAAGAGCATCAAAGATACCACTATGTTCTATTCCAAGATCCTGGGCATGGAGGTCATCACTTTCAAGGTAACCATTTCCCCACACACCAAATTGCAGGTGGATTAAACTTTAATGATAACACCTTAACATACAACTTAAGGGCTGGGGGTATAGCTCAGAGGTAGAGTGCTTGCCTAGCATGTGCAAGGCCCTGGGTTCCATCCCCAGCACCACAAAAAGGTGGGTAAAATTTAGCTTAACTCCAAAAACAAAATCACAGGAAATTTGAAGCAAAGATAAAAAGACCAATGAATAGGGGGATTTCCAGAAAATGGAGGAAAAAAGAGGGGAGGATATTATCATGGAAATAATGCAAGAGTTATGTACAACTATAATGCACTGATTTTTTAAAAGTGGGAAAAATAATGTTCTGGCCTTGGCACATGCTTGTCATCCCAGCTGCTGGGGAGGCTGAGGCAGGAGAATTGCAAGTTCAAAGCCAGCCTCAGCAATTTAGGGAAGCTCTAAACAACTTAGCAAGACTCTGCCTCAAAAAAAAAAATTAAGGGCTGGGGTTGTGGCTCAGTGGTAGAGCACTCGCCTTGCACATGCGTGACCCTGGGTTCAATCCTCAGCACCACATTAAAAATAAATAAATAAATAAAGGTACTAAAAAATTTAAAGTCTGGGGATATGGATCAGTGGTTAAGTACTTCTGTTACAAAAAAAAAAGAAAAAAAGAAAAAGAAAGAAAAGAAAAGAAAGAAAGAAAGAGAAAAGAATAAAAAAGGAAAGAAGAAAAGAAAAAAAGAACACAAGAGAACACTGCAGTCTTTATATACAAAGAGTTAAGTAAGTATCCAGCACATCAATACTTAGATACATTTGATAGAATTGTAGAACATCAAATTGTAAAAGGAGATCCTAAGAGCTTTCTAAGAGATTAAAAAGTAGTTCATCTAAAAAGAAAAAGAAACATTCAAATATCTAATTTTCTGAGTCCTACTGGAGACCAGAAGATAATAAAGGAAGGTCACCTTCAGGATTCTGGGAAAGGGACTGGAATTGTAGCTCATTAGAGGAGCACTTGCCTAGCACATGTGAGGTACTGGATTGGATCCTCAGCACCACATAAAACTAAATAAATAAAATAAAGGTACTGTGTCCATCTACAGCTTTAAAAAAATGTGAGGCTATTTGCTCCTATTAATTTTTTTTTCCTTAAAGATTCTGGGGACAAATTTTCAATCCTAGAATTCTATGTCCAGCAAAACTGTTAACCAAAGATAAGTGTAGAATAAAGCATTCTTAGACACAAAATGTCTCAAAAAATCTGCCCATTAGGAAACTGGGGCTCAGTGGTAGAGCTCATGCCTAGCACTCACAGGGTCCTGAGCTCCATCCTCAGCACTAAAAATCAAACAAAATGAGCAATTAAGTTGGGAATAAGGAAGACACAGAAATCAGGTTACCGTGGTTCCCAAGAGGAAGATTCCAGAAAGAATCTTAGAAAACCATCAGTCCTGTTCTAAACAGAACCAAGAAAGATCCCAAGAAGGAGAAATCCAGGGGAAAACAGAGGTTTCTAGAGATGAATACTATCCTGAGAATTTGTAAAAATTTCAAAAGTGGTAAATGCAGGGGCTGGGGTTGTGGCTCAGTGGTAGAGCACTTGCCTTGCACATGTGAGGCACTGCTTTGATCCCCAGCACCACATAAAAATACTAAATAAACAAAAATAAAGGTATTGTGCCCATCTACAATTAAAAATTATTTTTTTAAAAATGTGGTAGGACTAAGGTTGTGGCTCAGTGGTAGAGTGCTTGCCTGGCATGTGTGAGGTACTAGGTTCAATTCTCAACACCACATATAAATAAATGATCAAAGTAAAGGCCAATTTAAAAAAAAATAAAGAAATCTCTTTTTTAAAAAGTGGCAAATGCAGAGAAAGGAAAACATAAGTGTCCTGCCAAGATGTTCCTTCAGCAGATGAATGGATAAACTGAGGTATGTCCAGATAATGAAATATCATACAGTTATAAAGAGAAACGAAGCTGGGCAATGTGGTGCACTTCTGTTATCCCAGTACCTCAAGAGGGTATGGCAGGAGGATCACAAGTTCAAGGCCAGCCTCATCAATTGAGTGAGACCCTGTCTCAAAATAATAGATAGATAAAAAGGGGCTTGCAATGTAGCTCAGTGGTAGAGGGCTCACCTAACATGTGTAAGGACTTGGGTTCAATCTTAAATACCACAAAAATTACATCTATATCTATATATCATGCTGGGCTGGGGATGTAGCTCCATGGTATGGTGCTCAACTAGCAAACTGAAGACTCTGGGTTTATTTGCTGGTACCACACAGAAACAAAATCATGCTGAATAAATAAATGAAGGGGCTGGGGTTGTGGCTCAGTGGTAGAGTGCTCGCCTCGCATGTAAGAGACCCTGGGTTCGATCCTCAGCACCACATAAAAATAAATAAACAAAATAGAGATATTATGTCCATATATAACTAAAAAATTTTTTTTTAAATTAAGAAACAGAAGAAGGTCTCACCTCATGGAACCATTTATAATACCCACACAAAATAATAATACACTTTTATTTTGTGACATTGGGAATTGAACCTAAGGCCTTACATATGCCAGGCAAAGCATTTGATCACTGAGCCACATCCCAGCCCAACAATAATGTACTTTTTTTCGGGGAGGAGGTACTGGGGATTGAACTCAGGCACACTTGACCACTGAGCCACATCCTAGCCCTATTTTGTATTTTAATTAGAGACAGGGTCTCACTGAGTTGCTCAGCACCTCACTGCTGCTGAGGCTGGCTTTGAACTCATAATCCTCCTGCCTCAGACTCCTGAGCCGCTGGGATTACAGGTGTGCACCACTGTGCCCAGCCAGTAATGCACTTTTTACAATAACTTATGAAAATCAAAGGATGCATACCAAATACATTTATAATGGTTGCCTAAAGTAGGGACAGGAATAGAGAATAGAGAAAAAATGCATTAAGGAAATGACATGGGCTTTGCAAGGACCAGTGATGACAATAGTATATATAATGCCTCAACTCCCTATACTCAAGACACATTAGAGTGAAATTTCAGAACATCTAGGGCCAATAAAAATTCTACAAGCTGCAGGAGTGGAAGGTGACAAAAAAATGAAAAACGGAATAACATCAGACTTCTTATCAGCAACACCAGATTCAGGGAAGAAAATGAAGCAACATATTTAAAAGGCTGTGGGGGAAAAAAAACCCTCAACTTAGAATTGCATACTGGAACAAATTATCATTCAATGGTAAAAGTGAAATAAATTCATTTTCTGGTAGAATGTATGTGGTATCAAACATGATGATAAAAAAGGAAGAGAAATGGCAGATGCTGAGAGGTACAAGAGAGGATGGAGACATGAAGAAGATTACAGGGTGATGTGGGTTGTCTATCAAAAAATAAACATATTTCTTAGCACTACAAAAAATAATACCAAAAATATTCAACTGGGTTATTTAAAAATTATAAAGGAGGGCTGGTGTTGTGGCTCCATGGTAGAGCACTTGCCTAGCATGTGTGAGGCATTGAGTTCCATCCTCAGTGCCACATGACAATAAATAAATAAAATAAAGACATTGTGTCCATCCACAATTAAAATTTTTTTAAAAAATATAAAGAACCAAAAGAAGAATTAAACATGATGATAGAATTCTGTTGGGAGGGATAGTAAATTCTCATTTATCATAGCAGAGAGATGATAAAAACTATCTAAAGTCACTAAATCGAGAAATAGTAGTGCTCCCAGCAGCTTGGAATGCTGAAGCAGGAGGATCACAAGTTTAAAGCCAGTCTCTGCATATTAGGCAAGGCCCTAAGCAACTTACTTAGCAAGATCCTGTCTCAAAATACAAAAATAAAAAGTAAAATAAAGCAAAAGGTCTGGGGCTACATCTCAGTGGTTAAGTGCTTCTAAGTATGATCCCTGATACAAAAAAATAAATAAATAAATAAATAAAAAATAAAAATAAAAAGTAGTTCATCAGGGATTGTGTTTGGAGGTGTATGGGAGAAAACTCAACTAATTTAGGGTTACATTAGAAAGTTTTCTTTTTCTTTCATTGAACAAGCAGTCAGGAGTAGGCAGTCAGAACTCAGTGGTTGGGAAGGAGGAAATGAATGGGCACAAAAGTGCCAGCTCAATGGGGCAGAAAGGATCTCAGAAGCCCCACCCACAGCCATCTCATGGCCCAGTCCCTCTAACATGGCCTCCCTTACATGATGACCCCTTCAGCAAAGAATGCTGGGAAATGCAGGGGGTTTTTTTGTTTGTTAGTTTTAAAGCCCAGTACACAGTAACTCCATCAGAATTTGGATTTTGTTGTAAGAAAAAAAAAAGGACAACTTGGGAGGTTGGATCCCTGAGAAGGATCACTTGAGCCCAGGAATTCAGGGCCAGCCTGGACAACAGAATGAGATCCTGACTCTTCCTTAAAAAAAGAAAAGTCTGCCTTTAATCCTAGCTACTTGGAAGGCTGAGGAGGAGGATGATTGCAAGTTTGAGTCCAGCCTGGGAAACTGAATGAGATCCTGTCTCAGAAAGAAGAAGGGCTGGTGCCAAGTGTGGTGGCTCAAACTTTTCTAATCCCAGAGACTCAGAGGCTAAGGCAGGAGGATCACAAGTTTGAGGCCAGCCTCAGCAATTTAGGGAGACCCTCAGTAACTTCATGAGACCCTATCTCAAAATAAAAAAAAAATAGAAAGGGTTGGGGGTGTAGGTCAGTGGTACAACTCTTTCCTAGCATATGCCAGGCTCTGGATTCAATACCCAATACAGAAAAAAAAGATGGGAATGTATACTGAGTAGGCAAACTGCTGTTTCTGCCATGGGTAGTGTTAGCACAAAGAGTCCGGACCGGAGACAAGCTTCATGGATCATTTCAGCTTTTTATTCAGGAAAGGGACTACACCTATGGGAATGTACTCACTTTCCTGGTGGAAAATGAGCCATTAACAAAGGAGGGGACTGGGCTTATACAGGTTGTGGGTAATTTAGTGAGCATGTCAGTTTGGGCACTCAGAAATTTGAGTTTTTGGGTTGGGAGTCAGTGGCCAGCACCTGGAAAGGAGTTATCTTGGAAGAGATTAGTGTTTTCTTTTTTTTCCCTTTTTAATATTTTTTTTAGTTATACATGGACACAGTATCTTTATTTTGTTTGTTTACTTTTATGTGGTGCTGAGGATCCAACTCAGTGCCTCACATGTGCGAGGTAAGCACTCTGCCACTGAGCCACAACCCCAGCTGGAGATTAGTGTTTTCTAGAGATTATCATTCTAGGTTTGATGAAACACTTTCTCCTCACCTGTGGCCAGCATCTGAAAAGGATTTAACTTGAAAGAGATGAAAGCTATCCATGTATGGTTTTCTTTTTCATTCCCTTTTCCCAGGTCTCACTATTTTGGGTTTTTTTGGGTGGTATAAACATATTGTTTAGAGATAGGGAAATAATTTCAGGAAGAAACAAACACATAAAATGTGCACACATATTAGAAGTAGTTGCCTCTAAGACTGAGGTGGTGTAAGGGGATGTTGTTTAGTTAGCCTTGATTTACTTTAAAAAAAAAAAACTTCCTTGGGGTGGGGGTCAGACTTTAGCTCCCACTCATCTCTTTCTTTCATTCTTTTTTCCTTTTCTTTCTTGGTGCTGGGGATTGAACCCCCCACATGCTAGGCAAGGGCTCTATAATGGAACTATATCTCCAGTCCTTTATTTTTTATATTTTATTTTGAGGCAGAGTCTCACTAAGACTGAATCTGGCCTCAAACCTGTGATCCTCCTGCCTCAGCCTCCTGAGTGGCTGGGATTTCAGGTGTGCACCACCACACTGGGTTTGGAACTTTAGTTTTAGGTTGTTTTCTCTTCCTCAAATAGGGAGACCGAAAAGCATTGTGCTTTGGAGACCAAAAATTTAACCTCCATGAGGTGGGAAAGGAATTTGAACCCAAAGCTGCTCATCCTGTTCCAGGCTCCCTGGACTTATGTCTGATCACAGAGGTGCCTTTGGAGGAGATGATCCAGCATCTAAAGGTGAGTGGGACTTCATTCTTCTTGATAAAACCACTGCAGATGCCATAAAAATGGAAGCTTGACTCGGGGAGATCTTCAAACCTCTAACATGACCGGTTTCTACACAATCATCCACTCATTTTGATTGACATCATTGTTTCATGTAACCAGATGGATTTAAAAATGAAACTTCAGGGCTAGGGTTGTGGCTGATTGGTAGAGCACTTGCCTAGCATGCGTGAGGCACTGAATTCGATCCTCAGCACCACATAAAAATAAACAAATAAATAAAGGTATTGTGTCCATCTACAACTAAAAAAATATTTTTAAATGAAATTTCATATCACCATTTGTAAGTATTTTATATATATATATATATATATATATATATATATATATATATATATATATATATGACTGGGGTTGTGGCTCTGTGGTGGAGCACTTGCCTAGCATGTGTGAGGCACTGGGTTTGATCCTCAGCACCACATATAAATAAGTAAATAAATAAATAAGTAAAGGTCTATCTACAACTAAAAAAATTAAATGTATATCTGAGTTATTTTACATAAACACATTTACATAAAAAGAAAACGTTCTACCAACTACATGAAAAATCCATTATATGTAGGCATAAAGGGAAAGTAATTGTAAAAGCCAACAGCTATAGGGCTGGGAGTGTGGCTCAGTGGCATGACACTTTCCTAGCCCTGAGTTCCATCCCCAGCACTGAGAGAGAGGGGGAGAGGGAGAGAGAGAGAGAGAGAGAGAGAGAGAGAGAGAGACAGACAGACACTCTTGCCTAGACTGCTAGACTGCCTAGGTATGAATTCTGGCTCTGTTACTTATTAGATCATACTAGATACTTTTTTTTTCCTTTTTGTACTTGGGATTGAACCCAGGGGTAGGTACTTTACCACTGAACTATGCCTTTAGTCATTTTTATTTTATTTTACTTTTATTTTTATTTTGGGGAACTACCAGGGATTGAACTCAGGGGCAGTCGACTACTGAGCCATGTACCCAGCCCTATTTTGTATTTACAGACAGGGTCTCACTGAGTTGCTTAGTGCTTCACTTTTGATGAGGCTGGTTTTGAACTCTTGATTCTCCTGCCTCAGCCTTCTGAGCCACTGGGATTACAGGTGTGCATAACCATATCCAGCTAGTTTATTCTTATTTTGAGACAGGGTCTTGCTAAGTTGCCCAGGCTGGCCTTAAACTTTTGATCCTACTGCCTCAGCCTCTGGAGTTGCTCATATTACAGAATTGTGCCACCATGCCTGGCCATACTAGGTACCATTATTATTCCCATTTTCAGATGAGAAAACTGACATACAGGTCAATTAGTTGCTCTACCCAAGGCCATACAACTTAACAGGGTTAATGAATGAAGAATGGCAGAAAATGAGGTGAGAAAATACAGAGGTGTTCTATATGCTTCTAAGGTAGTATTAGGAATTGAATTTTAGTTTTTCACATTGACTATGACATATGAACTTTGTCTTCTCTTCCCACTTTAGGCTTGTGATGTCCCCATTGAGGAGGGGCCAGTTCCCAGAACAGGAGCAAAGGGGCCTATTATGTCTGTCTACTTCCGAGACCCAGACAGAAATCTAATTGAGGTGTCCAACTATGTCTCCTTGTGATTGATACTGGTCCTCAGCCATTTTGTTTCCCTCCATGTTACCTTCTCCCTTCCTTCCCAAAAATCCTTGCCCAGGCCCAGAGACCTTCATGGACTGAGGACTTCAGCAGTTCACACATCCTGTTGAGGGCATGTGAGACAGGTGTGGGACCAAACCTACATATCTGGATGATCTTCATTCAAGCTGTGCCAAAAAAAAAAAAAATGGATAATCCCACCACAGTAGCTCATTGTTCTTTTTGTCTCACCACTTCACCTGGGGTTTGTCTAGGATATGAGTTTTCTAAACTCTTTAGAGGTCCATGACTGGTTAAGACATCTCTGAGGACCAAATGCAGGTCTTTTCCTTGGGATTCAAAACCTCTGACAGATTTCTACTTGTCTGTGATGCATCCTTCTTCCTCCTTATCTGACTTGCCTCATTCCTCTGACTTTTTTTTCCCCTTCACCCTATGGGCCTCACTGAACCTCCGGATCTATATAATTCCTATGAGATCTTCCAGGACCAGCCCAGATGATGCACCTTCTCCTGGAGAGACTTCTCTGGTCTCACTCTCAGGGCATCTAGCACTTTCTCCCTTATTGAGACTCAGCCGCTGACTGAGTATATGGGATAAGGTCAAGTTTCTTCTGTTTCGGTCCCCCCACCACTGCCACACCTTTTACTCATTTAGTCAACTAAAACACATATATTGAGCATCTATTGTGTGGTGGGTCCTGTCTTAGGCATTAGAGAGATGGTGTTGAACAAAAAGGATAAGTATATCTATGCCTGTGGTGCTGCCATTCAAGTGGGAGAGATAGAAAATCAGTAAAACTAAAAAAGATGTTGGGGGCTGTAGATCTTTGGTAGAGCACTTGCTTAGCATATGTGGGGCACAGGATGGGATTCTCAGCATCACATATAAATAAATAAATAATCAATAAAATAAAGGTCCACTGACATCTAAAAAAATTTTTAATAAAGGGTGTTTGGAAGGGAGGAATAGAGAAAGGATGGTTAATGAGTATAGAGGTGCAGTTATATAAGAGGAACAACTTCTAAGTTTTTAAAAAATATTTTGTTATTTTAGTTGTAGTTGGAACAATGACTTTATTTTATTTATTTATTTTTATGTGGTGCTGAGGATCAAACCCAGCACCCCACATGTGTTTGGCAAGCACTCTACCACTAAGCCACAATCTCAGCCCCATCTTCTAAGTTTCTATAGCACAGTATGTTTGGCAACAATTAATTGAATTTTTTCAACTAGCTAATAGAGGGGATTTTGAATGTTCTCAACATATAGAAATTATCTACGTCTGGGGTAATAGGCATGTCAATTGCCCTGATCTGATCATTACACATTGTGTACATGTCTTGAAATGTCATACTGTATCTCATCAATATTATAATTATTCTGTTGATTTCTAAGAAATTATTAGTTAATTAATTAAAAAGAAAGAGAAAAATAACTAAGATATTAGATATGCTAGAGACCGATAAATACTTTGGAGAAAAAGAAAACATGGAGGTTAGCAGTATAGTTCAGTGGTAGAGTGAATGCTGAGCCCATACAAGGTCCTGGATTTCTTCTCCAGCACTAAAAGAAAACACAGAAAAGAGGGGATGCTGATAAACATTGCTGGAGCAATTTACAATGTTTAATGGGATTGTCCAGGAAAGCCTGACTGAAGAGACATTTGAACACAGACCTGAAGACTTGAGGGATAAACCACACAGCTACCCAGAGGAAGAATGCACCAAGCTGAATAGGCAGTACAAAGGCCCTGAGGCAGGAATGGATGTGGTGTGCATGTGAGGAACAGCTAGAGAGGGGCACAGTAGGAGGAGTGAGAGAGAAAGTTTGGGTAGGGCCTCGTGGACCAAGGTGAAGACTTTGGCTTTTATTCTGAGTGAGTGGAGCCACCGGAGGGTCCTGAGCAGAGGGAATTTATCTGATCCAGGTTTAACCGGCTCCTGCAGGCTACTATATGGAAACTAGACTGTCAGGGAAGGGCAGAAGCAGGGGTGCCAAGGAGGAGGAGGCCACCGCAGTGGTCCTTGTGAGCCATGAAGGTGGTGGCAGAGTAGGTGAAAAAAAAGGTGGTTAGACTCTGGCAATAATTTGAAAATAGGGACTGAATGAGTTCATCAAGCAAAAATGTCAACTAAAGAAGCCTGAGCACCTTTAGAGGTTTGAAACAAGATGAGGTTCAGGCAAGGAGGAAGGGGAAGTGTACAGATGGATTCCTGAATGAATATATGATGGATGAAAGAACAGGTATGAGAGTCTCTTGAAGTAAAGAGGCCCTTAATCTTGTGAACTCTGGTCTCTAAATACTCTCCAGCTGGATCCTATGAGTGAACTCCCAGGGACCCCCCCAAAATGCTATAAAGAATGGAAATGTGAGGATGGAAGCTTTGGCACATAAAGGGCTTTGCCAAAAACTGTAGTAAGTTTCCTGTCTGATTTTAAAAGACAGCTTGCCTTGGATCCAAAAATTATAAGCCTGGAGATAGATGATTTACAGAAGGAAGAGAAAGGAAGAGGGAGAGAGGGAGGAAAGGGAGAATGAATGGGCAAATGGGTGGATGGATGAATGGATGGGTGGAAAAGGAGATGGATAGATGGGTAGAGATGGGTACTGTTAGATTTCTATTGCTGTGACAAATACCTGAGATAAATCAGGTATTAAAAGGAGGAAAGATTTATTGTGGATCACAGTTTCAGAGGTTTCAGTCCATGGTCATTTGTCCTGGTTGTTTTGGGCCTATGGCAGCATAGCACATCCTGGCAGGAGCATGTGGTGGAGGAAAACTGTTTACTTCATGACTGCTGGGAAGCAAAAGACAGAGAGGAAGGGGCCAGGGTCCTAATATCTCCTTCAAGGGCAGGCCCCCAGTGACCACTAGGCCCCACCTCATAAAGGTTCCACAACCTTCAAATGGTCCCAGCTGTTAAAAGCTTGGTTGCTTTTAGGCCAGGTGTGGTGGCACACATCTGTAATTCCAGCATCTCAGGAGGCTGAGGCAGAATCATCAGTTCAAAGCCAGCCTCTGCAACTCAGTGAAGCCCTATGCAACTCAGAGGGACTTGTCTCAAAATAAAATGTAAAAAGGGGCTGGGGAGTGGCTGTGGCTGTGGCTCAGTGGCAGAGCACTTGCCTAGCATGTGCAAAGTGATGGGTTCAAACCTCAGCACCACATAAAAATAAATACATAAAATAAAGATATTGTGTCCAACTACAATAAAAAAAAATTTAAAAGGGCTGGGGATGTGGCTCAGTGGTTAAGTGTCCCTGGGTTCAATCTCTGGTACCGGGAAAAAAAAATAAAGCTTGGTTGCTTTTAACTTTGGGGGACACTCTAGACACAAACTATAAAAAATGGATTAAATGAAGTGTGGTATATTAAGTCAATGAATTATTACTTAACAATAAAGTAGAATGAGCTTAAGAGGCCAATATTATTCTGATAAGAAAATCAAAGACATGGGCTGAGGCTGTGGCTCAATGGTAGAGCATTTGCCTCACACATGTGAGGCACTGGGTTTGATACTCAGCACCACATAAAAATAAATAAACAAAATAAAGATATTGCATTCATCTATAACTAAAAAATATTTTTTTAAATAAGAAAATCAAAGACATGACAAGAAAACTATAGCCTGATATCTCTTTTAAATATAGGTGCAAAATCCTCAACAATTACAAATAAATAGAATCCAGCAACATATAAAAAGATTATCCATCATAATCAAGTAGAACTTATCCCATAAATGCAAAGTTGGGTCACCATATTAATAGAATAAAGGACAAACAGCACATGACAAAAACCCCTCCATGATATAAACACACTCAACAACCAGAAATAGAAGAGAACTTCCTCAACATGATAAAGGGTATCTACAGAAAACCCACAAGTAACATCACACTCCATAATGAAAGACTGAAACCTTCCCCCAAAGATCAGGAACTACACAAGGAGGTCCCTGATCACCACGTCTATTCAACATTCAACTAGAGGTTCTAGCCAGGGCAATTAGGCAAGAAGAAGAAATAAAAGACATCCACAGGCTGGGGTAGTGGCTCAGCAGCAGAGTACTTGCCTATCATGTGTGAGGCACTGGGTTTAATCATCAACACCACATATGAATAAAGAAATAAAATAAAGGTCCATCAACTAAAAAAACAAACAGTATATAGATATATAAATCAAAGACATCCAGATTTGAAAAGAAGTAATTAAAACTATCTCTATTTGAGAGGACATGATTTTGTACTTTGAAAATCTTAAGGAATACAACAAAACCAGTAGAACTCCATTAGTATTTAAACCCAGCAAGGATGCAGGAGACAAGATTTTGTATGAGGCAAGATACAAGGTTTTGTATGAGACAAGATCATACAAAAACTTAATCATAACATGGACAAGGCAGAGCATGCCTGTGATCCCAGGGAGTCCAAGGCAGGAAGATCACAAGTTCAAAGCCAGACTCAGCAACTTAATGAGGCCCTAAGCAACCTAGTGGGACCCTGTCTCTAAATAAAAAATAAAAAATAGGACTGGGGATGTGGCTCAGTGGCTAAGCACCCTTGGGTTCAATCCCTGGTACTAAAATTGAAAAATAAGAGATATTATTGGATTAAGCATAATCTTATTCTTAGGTCCTATATTGGCTGAGCTAAATTTGTAGCTTGTAGAAATTAAGAAAAATGTGAATAAATATGACAGATCTATGGTAAATTAAAAAATATAGGGGAAAATGATCAATAGAGTAAAGAAGGAAGATCAGCAGAATGGAGGAGGGGAAGGAATAAGGAAGTTCAAAACCAGTAGAACTCCATTAGTATTTAAACCCAGCAAGGATGCTGGGATTGAAACAGAACAAACTATGTTATATACATTTATGAATATATTCAAAAGAACCCCACTATCATGTATAACTATAGACACTAATAAAAGCATTTTAATCCCACAAAATCTATAAAATTATGAAAAAATATATAGCAGGGTTGTGGTATAGCTTAGTAGTAGAACACTTGCCTAGCATGTGCCAGGTCCTGGGTTCAATCAAAATACCTCAAAAAAATAGTTGTGCTGTTTTAAGGAGCACTCCAAAAGAAGCACTCCAGCCAGGTGCAGTGGTGCACACCAGTATCCCAGTGGCTTGGGAGGCTGAGGCAGGAGGATCACAAGTTCAAAGCCAGCCTCAGCACTTTAGTGAGGCCCTGTCTTAAAATTAAAAAAAAGGGCTGGGGACATGGCTCAGTGGTTCAGTGCCACTGAGTTTATTACCTGGTACCAAAAACAAAATCCACCCCAACAACCTAGTTGCAGCAAGATATAGGTAATTTAGTTAACAAAGAAAGTGATATGCCTCTTTCTGATGACAGGGGTTGTTTTGTTTTTTGTTGGAGAGGTGCTGGGATGGATCCTAGAGCCTCACTACATGCCATGAAAGTACTCTACCACTGAGCTACATCCCCAGCCCTTTTTTTGTTTTATTTTGACACAGAGTCTAAGTTGCCCGGCTGGCCTCAAATTTGTGATACTCCTGCCTTAGCCTCTTGAATTGCAAGGATTACAGATGTATGCCACCATACCCAGCTAAGTGTAATATTCTGCTGTTCTCCATGTAGTAATTTAGTAAAAAACTTTAAAAAAATTAAATAATTGGGGCATGGAGTCCAGCTGTGCCCATAGTCCCAGCTACTGGGGAGTATGAGGCAGGAGGATTGCTTGAGCCTAGGAGTTCAAGGCCAACGTGGGCAACATAGTGAAACCTCCTCTCTCAAAACAAAGAAAGCAAGGCAAAAATAAAAAAGACAAAGAATGGTGAGATTTCTCATTTAGATTTATTGCAAAGTAATAAATTGGTAACGTCCTTCCAACCTCTGCAGAGTACTGCAGTACTTAAAAGTAAAGGCTAACTATCATGCATATAAGATTACATGACCTGTGTAACTCTACATCATGTACAACCAGAAGAATGTGGAGTTATATTCCACTTATGTTTGATGTGTTAAATGCATTTTACCATCATGTATAACTAATTAGAACAAAATTGAAAAATTTTAAAAAGAAGTAAAGGCTAACTATCCACAGACTTAAAACCCAATCATGAGACAATGATCACATGTATTAATGTCAGTTTTTTTGTGCATACCTATAATTCTAGCTGTTTAGGAGGTTGAGGCAAGAGGATCACAAGATCCTGGAGGTCAGCTTGGGAAGCTTAGACATTGTCTCAAAAAAAGATTTAAAAGGCCTAGGGTGTAGTTTAGTGGTAGAGTGTTTGCCTAGTTTGTGTGAGGTCCTGGATCTGATCCACAATTTAAAAAATTACCTCTTGCAAATCCATGAAACAAAAAATATTGAATTTGCAATGCAAATTGAAAATGAACAGAGGTCAGAAAAAACAGCAGTCACTGACTTGAGCAGATGAGTTTTTTCTTATAGGAGTATTTGATTTCTAGTGTGTTTTGTGTGATATTCAACTACAAAGCAAATAGATTTTGAAGCAGTTCAAAACCAAAGTTGCTATCACAGAGTTCCATGAAATGCAATTATACAGAGAAAATCAAATATGGAGGAAACAGTCCAGTACATACCATTCCCATAGGAAAAGAACAATGTCCAGTCACCCTGACTGGACCTCTTTTGTGTTTCAGACTTTAACTACAGGGCACCTGGCTTGCCTTCTTGGATTCCTAACTCCTGGCTTTTAATAACTGCTTCTCTCTTCAGAACCTTTTGTTTGTTTGTTTGTTTGTTTTAGGAATACTTGTATTTCAAAAATACACAAAAGCAAAGGGAAGCACATCTAATTACTGAACAGAAGTAATATGTTGATATTTTGGTATATAACATTAAAGGGATTTTTGTTCTATTGTGTTGTGGTGCTGGGGATGGAACCCAGGGCCTCGAACATACTTTGTGAGTGCTTGCTCTTTCACTGAGCTATATTCCCAACCCTTTTAGTTTTCTGTATGCATGTTTATACATTTTAATTTTTTGTCCAAATTAAAGTCATTCTCTGCCATTTGTAACCAGCTTCTTTTGTGTGTGTGTTATCACAATTATTATATAGACTATAATAGACTATATATATAGTCTCTCTCTCTCTCTCTCTCTCTCTCTATATATATATATATATATATATATATATATATATATATATATATATTCGGGGCTGGCGCTGGGGCTCAGTGGTAGAGCGCCTGCCTGACATGTGTGAGGCACTGGGTTCGATCCTCAGCACTACATAAAAATAAAGAAAGAAAATAAAGGCATTGTGTCCATCTACAACTAAAAAAAATGTTTTAAATAAACTGAGAAATATTTTTAAAAATATATAGTCAATTATAGACTATATAGTCAATTATTGTATATATTGTATTGTTGTACATATTGTATATTAGTGTGTGTGTATATGTATATATATAGTCAATTATTGTAAACTGTAGTCACCCTATTGTGCTATAGAACACTAGAGTTTATTCATCCTAACTGGGTTTTGGTAACCATTATCTGAAGTGTATCTCCCTAGCTTTCTCAGCCCCTAGCAACCACTGTTAATTTATGAGATCATCTCTTGTGTGTGCATGAGAGCACATAGTTCTGGGGATCGAACCCAGGGACCCTCTACTACTGAGCTACATGCCCAGCTCTTTTAACTTTTATTTATTTTGGGTTGTGATCTCACTAGGTTGTCCAGGTTGTCACTGAACTTAGAATCCTCCTGTCTCAGCCTCCCTAGTAGCTGGTATTGAGATCAAATATATTAGCTTCCAAAAAATTATACATGTTTAAGAAGATGGAAATGCCAATTATTCTGATGGGATCATTCCACATTGTGTACATGTATCAAATTATCATGCTGTATCCCACAAATATGTATATTATGTCTCAATAAAAAATAATACTTAAAAAAGTGATCAACAATTTGATTCTGAGCTCAAACTATGACTCGTTAGCCAGACTTTGGTTGATGTCTTTCTCATGTCCATGACACGAAGAGTCAGCCCCCCAGCCCCCATCACCTTGGTGGATTCCAGTTCTAAGGGATATAAATTTCAAAATGCCATGGACTTAGACCACGCAGGTGCTCTAGAATCCCAAAGATTCCAGGAGGGAGGGAACCAGTCAGTGAAGTCTTCTAGGAAGAGAGAACACTAGAGCCAGTCTGAAATGGAAGTCTGACAGAGAGCACGTGATGACCCGGACACCCCACCCCTGCCCCCGCCCTTGGCTCCCCAAAGTCTGGCCTGGCCCTTGCTGATTCCCTTATCTGCCCACTCCCAGCTGCCTCCCTGCTGGTTGAACTGTTGCCCTCAGACTTCTGGGCCTGCACCCCCTCCACAGGGATGGGGGAGGGAATGGGGTGAGGCCTGGTCTCAGAGGCACCCCACTCCCCACCCTTTACTTCCTTTCCTAAGCCCTTCGTCCCATCCAAGAATGAAAAAAAAATGTGGTGTGAGTCCGGCATCAAACCCTTGTCTTAGGCATGCCTCCAGTCTGCCCTTCCCCATAGGACAGATGACCCTACCTTGCCCCCAAACTTGTTTGCAACTTTTGTATCTAACAATAACAATGATGAGAATTAAAATTTGCAGAGCACAGGGTTTGTGGCAGGGCGGGCAGGCCTGTGTTCTGAGTGGTTACATTTAATGTAGGGGTTGGGGGTGGGGGCTGCAATGATATCCACTTTCCAGGTGAAGCAACTGAGGCTTAGAGGGAGAGGTTTGCCCAGGAATCAGGAAGCAAATTGGTATGAGAGCTGAGACAAGAACCTCCAGCCGTAAACAAACAGCCTCATTTCTGTGTATCTACTCCCAGTTTGGAAGAAAGGTACGATTATACACATTTACTCCATGAGGACCTGGTGAGATTGGGATAAAATTATGCCTGGGAAGTGCTTAGCACAGTGCCTGTATTTTCTCAGCGATTAAAGCGGCTCTTGTTATTGTCTTACTGCTTGCTAGTAAAACATTAGTATCAGAATTAGTGCTATCATTGTTATTATTCTTAAAATGAATTATAACCAGTTTTAGAATTAGTATTAATAACAATATTAGCATTAGATAAGAATTAACATTAGGTTAGTACTGTTACTATTGACATTATTAGTATTAGTATCAATATTAGAATTAATATTACTATTGGAATACTATTACTAACAGTGTTACTATTGGTGTCAGCACAATATTAACATTAGAACTAGAATTAGTAGCAGTGTAAGTTAGAAATGGTTAGAAAGGATCCAGTACTATTCCTTTCATACAGTAGGTTCTCAATAAGTAAATAAGAATATTTTAAAAACTCATTTAAAGTAAACTTTATTTTTTTACATTAAGATTTCATATTCAGCTTGGTGCGGTGGCACACACCTGTAATCCCAGCGACTAGGGAGGCTAAGGCAGGAGGATCTCGAGTTCAAAGCCAGCCTCAGCAATTTAGTGAGGCCCTAAGCAACTCAGCAAGACCTTGTCTCTAAATAAAATTTAATAAAAGGGCTGGGGATGTGGCTCAGTGGCGAAGCACCCCTGGGTTCCCTAGTACCAAAACAAAAGAAAGAAAGAAGGAGGGTGGGCTGGCTCCAGCATCCACATTCTGACACACCATCATAGGAGTTCTTTGTCCTTGTTTTCCTCCTTACCATCTACAGTAAGGGCTTGCACAGAGGCATCACGCAGCAGATCAACAAATGACAAATGATGGCCTTCTTGTCTCCTGAAACCTCCAACTTTGCATGTGAGGACACAGACTCAGAGAGGTAAGATACGAATGGTCGACTGTCTCTGGGGTGGGCTGGTGCACCAGCAATGGACCGGGAGGGAAGTGGACCCACTGACTCCTTGCTCTTTGCTCTCTGTGGACCTCAGTCTCCCTATCTATAGAATGGGTGTCTAGGAGAGCTGCCTGTCCTACAGAGTTCCAGAGCCATGATAAAGGAGTCCTATTCCTTGCCCTATTGGGACCCAAGTTGAACACTTACTGTTTCTATGTGTGTCAGATGATTTAATATGGATTACTTAATACACAGACCTGTCCGTGTGAGTCACTGTGGTTGTTATTATTAATGTTTGAGGGATATGGGACTGGGGAGGAGGGTGGGGAATGGGTTACAAGGGCCAAGTGACCTTCTGGGGGTCCCTCGGAGCAGGTTAAGGGCAGAGCCACATAAATCCACATCATTTCACATCCCCCTGTTCCACACACCCCAGCAGGGCTTACCCGGATTGCCACCTGGGTCTCAGACTCTGTCTCTGACTCTCTCTGTCTCTATGCCCCTCTCTACACGGTCTTTATCTCCCTTCTTGGTCTCTCTATCCTTATCCTATCATTTTCAGGGTTTTGTGTCTACTTTCTATCCACCTCTGCCTTTCATTCTCTCTTTGCCTTTCTCTGTGTATCTGTATTTAACCGTCTCTGGCTCTCTCTGGATGTCTCTCTCTTTGTCTCCCTTTCTTTCTGTGCCCTCTCTCTGCCTTCTTCCACCTCTCCGTCTCTTCCTCTTTCTATATATCTCTGTCACTCTGTCTCCTGGTTTCCATTTCTTTCTGTTTATCTCTGTTCCTGTCTGTCTCTCTCCCTTCCCTTACCCACCCTATCCCACTCCTGGAGTCTCCCAGGGAACCAATCTTGGATGTCACCTCAGTTTCCCGCCTTCAAGGCAGTATGGCGGGCAAGAAGTTAAGGCCACTGTCTCTGGGAGTCCCCCCACCCTGCCCCCCAACCCCAAGACAGCCTGTTACTGCTGCGCCAACAGCCACAGTCGCCTCCATCTGATAAGACTTATCTACTGCCCCAGGGCAGGCCAGAACTGGCGTAAGCCCCAGTCGCTAAGTGAGTGTGCCCTTGCCTCCCGCCAGCCCCGTTCTAGCCCCGCAGCCTGGGTCAACAAGTTATTCCATAGACTTTGGTTCCAATCCTACCAAAGTTGTCTGAGCCTTATTCTTCTCACCTGCAAAATGGGTACAGTCACAACCCTCCTCTTCCCGCAGCCAGGAAGGCTCACATACATAAAGGTCCAGCCCAGATCTGGCCCAGCACACAGTGGGGGCTTTCCTCACTGCAAAGCCCAGTGGAGTCATGAAACTATAACCTCTGTTTTTATTTATCTTGGCTTTAGCCCATGTCACTTGGCTGGACACTGAAGTCCATAGTAGCCCAAGTTGAACAGGGTCCAAGAATGCATAGGGTGGGCAGGTATGGTGGATGAGGGCCCCCAGTGCCCAAGACATGCCCCATGAGCAGGGGGCACGCCCCCCTCCCCTGAACTGCCCCACCCACTGGGGCATCAGCCACTCCCTGGGGAGGAGGGAGGAGGGAGAAGAGACAGAAGGAGGGCGGGAGGGAGCCTCAAAGGCCAAGGCCAGCCAGGACACCCCTTGGGATCACACTGAGCTCACCACATCCCCAAGGTGGCTGAACCTTCTGCACCAACCCGCCCAGGTCAGTCTCACCCCCCAAAGAGCCCCCAGCAGGGCAAATCCCCATCCTGCTGCCCCTAACCTCACGGCTGCTCTCCTAGCCTACTCCAGGCTTCCTTACCCACTGCTTGTCTCTAGAGTATCAGCCACCCCTGAGTCCCTTCACAGCAATTCAGACCCATTTCTGTCTTTCCAACCCTGCCTCTATACCAGATCTACCCCCAAACCCTACCTCTCTCCACACAGACTTCCATTCACTCTTTCCAAGATATCTGTCTCCCTGAGCCCTTACCTTTGCTGTTCATAACCCCAGATCTGCCTCCCCTAAACATCAACTCTGTCCTCCCAAGACATGCCTTCATCCCCCCAAATCCTATCTCTGTCCCAAATCTGACTTCCAATCACCCAAACTTGTCTGTCTCCCTGAATGCTCCCCACAAACTTCACCTCTGCTCCCCCAAAGCTATTTCTGCTTCTATGCCCTTATCTGCTCCATAACAACCTTGTCTCTGCCCCAAATTCTCTCAGCTTCCCAAACCTGTCTCTAACACCAAACCCTAGCTTTATCCTCTTATCCCCCATCTCTGATTCTCAAACCCCACGTTTGTTCCCTGTGACTTGTCCCTGATCTCTCCAAATCATTTCTATCTCCCAAACCCTACCTGCTCACCAAAATGTCTTAGTTACTCCATATATTAAATCTAGCCCCCCCCCCCAAATCTGTTCTGCTGTATGAATCTTCACATCTGCCTTCCCTAAACCCTACACCAGCCCTAAAACATGTTTTTGCTCCCTGAATGTCTCTGGCCCCAAACTTTCTCTACCCCAATTCTATCTTTGCTTTTCAAAATCTTCCCATGATCTATCTCTAATCTATCCATCCAGGTTGATTTCTGATTCCTAAACTCTCTCTCTGTTCCAACAAAATCTTTGGACTCCTCAAATTTTTCTATGATCCTCAAAATCCATCTGCTCCCCAAACTACATCTCGAACTTTTCAGTTCTGATTCTCAAACTTCACCTGATTTCCCAACTTCATCTGTTTTCCCAGCATATTTTTGAACTCAAAATGTCTCTGAATTCCCAAGCTTGTCTCTCCTCATACCCAATATTTGCTTCCCCAAAATGCCATAGTTACACCTCAGATTTCTCTGACTCCTCAACCCCATGGCTACCCCTCATACGCCACCTCCGACTCCCCAACTGCTATATCTGGCCCCCCACTTTGGACCCTATCTCTGCTCCCGTTGGTCCTGTGAGACCCTCCCTTGAGGGCTGGATAGGGATGTTACCTGGGGAGAGGGGCTGGGGCCGAGGGAGAGTTGAGGGTGCCTGGCTGCTGCCTGTCGCCGTGGCCGTTGGGGCAACACTTACTCTAGTGGGGCTGCTGATAAGGAGCTTTCATATCCCCCAGCCTCGAGATAAACTTTATCTCTGTCCGGAGAGTGATAACTGGGGTGGGGGGGCCAGCCCTTGCTAGGGGAGGGGTGGGCAGCCCTGGACCCACCAAAGTGCAAGGTGCAGGAGGCACAGTGGGCCTGTAGGAAGATTCTGGTGGTGAAGATGAGGGGATGAGGGAAGAGTGGTGACAGAGAGAGACACACACAGTGACACAGAGGGAGAGAGAGAAGGGAAGGAGAAACAAAAGGAGCTGGGGAGAAAGAGACACCAAGCTAGAGAAAAAGCTCAAGAGACAAGAGAGACATGAAGCAAGATAATGGAGAAACAGAAAAAGTGACAGACTCAAAGAAATAGTAAGACAGAGACAGAACGAAAGCTGAAGAGAGAGAGAATACCAGCAGCAGAAACGCAGAGAGCGGAGAAAGGGACCCAAAAACAGAATTGTGGAAAGAAAGAGACAAAGAATTAGAGACAGAGAGGAAAGAGATGGAGGGTGAGATGGGGAAGCACTTTATCCAGGGAGAGACGATGGGAACCTTGGGGCAGAGGAGGTGGTGGTGGTGGACACATCCATGGGCTCTGTTTTGATGCTTAGCCTATCTACACAATGTTTCATTTAGACCTTTAGGAGTAGGGGGACAGTTTGAAGGTAGCTTTCCATTCCATCTCTATCACTCCAGCCTACAGATAGGGAACTGAGCAGGCAGGGCCAGGGACATGTTTCCTAAATCCTTGTCCTGGGCTGCATGTGGCAAAATATGCTTAGGGTTATGAGAATAGAAAAAGAGGCATGGAAATAAGGTTAGAGGGCTCAGAGAGAAATAGGGGGAAGAAACAGTGGGAGACACAGAACTAGAAACATAGTTGAAGAGATGCAGAGACATTCAGAGAGATATGTGTAAAGACGGAGGCAGCAAGAGTAACAGTTACCCTGGGGGAGAGCTGAGAGAGAGAAAGAGGCAAAGAGATGTAAAGAGACATTGAGAGACATGGAGGGACAGACAAAGGGAAGGGAAACGTCAGACACTCATAGAAGCACACAGAGAGGGCAAGATGGATCATAGAAGCATACAAAGTTCAGGGGAAGCAGACCTGAAGAGAATGGAGTCAGGGAAAAAGAGACTCAGGGAGGCAGAGAGACAGAGAGACAGAAACATAAGACAAGATGGAGTCAAAAGGGTCCATCTCCAGGGTCTTCTCCTGTCACCACCTCCAATATAGCAGATGGGGAAAATGAGGCCTGGGAATAGTGGGACTTGAAGGTGCCTGAAAGCAGAACTGTGGTGAGCCTCTCCAGGGGAGAGAGTATGGGAGAGGCAGCACCTCCCACCTGTCACCCTCCTCAGAGGAAGCCAGTGGCCTTGGGGTGATTTCAAAAGTTGGGCGGGGATGGCAGAGATAAGCAGTGCGGGGTACTGACCCCCCCACCATGGAGCAGGGAGGAACTAAGGGGGCCCTCTGCCTGCAGACCCAACAGAGGTGGGGGAGGGGGAGTGAAGCCGGAAACCATGGTGTTTCTGAGAAAGTCAGAGGGTAAGATGCAACAGATAGGAACGAAGTTGGGGCACACAGGAGGATGAACCCCAAGGTCCTGGGGGAAGTGACCAAGGGCTTCAAGGGATCCCTGGCTATGCTCCCTATCTCACCCTAACTTTTGTAAAATAGGAGAGGAGGAAGGGTGGGGAGCAGAGTGAATAAGGAAAAGAAGTGGAGGAGGAGCTAAGGAAAGAGGAGGGAAAGAAGACTGAAGGAAGAAGAGGAAAAGAAGGATTAAGAAAAGGGAAGGAGAGGAAAAAGGAGCACGGGAGATATAGAAAGGGGAAGAGAGAGAGAGCATGAAAAAGGAGAGAAGAGTTGTTGAGGAACAAAGAGAAGAAACGACAAGGGAGAGAAAATGAAGAAGGCAAATAGGAAAAGAAGATGAGAATTAGGAAGGAGTAGAAAGAGAAGGAAGAGGGGGAGAAGAAGAGAAGGAAAAGAGTGGAGAATTGGGGAAAGAAGAGACGGAGGGGGAGAAAGGAAGGAGAGGAGGGTAAGCGGAGGGAGAGGAGAAGGAAAACAAGAGAGCAGGAGAGAACAGGAGGAGGAGAGGAAAGAAATGGAAACTGTTCTTCAGTATGCATAAATTATTAGCATACATGTGTGTAGACACAAGCATGATGTGTTGTTTGCCTGTGTTTACACTTATATATAAATGGCATTATATCTAAACATATATCTTCAACTTTGTTCTTCACAGTACACTGTTTTTGACATTTATCTATGCCCTGAAGAATAATTATACATTATAAGTGACCAAAGAAGTACAGATTATAAATAATATATTAATTTTTCACACTTCAAAAAATGGAGCAAGAAGAGAATGGGAAATAAGATGAAAGGAGGGGAGGATGAGAGGTGAGGATGGATTGGAAGGCAAGAGAGATGAAAGTGGGGGAAAAGAGGAGGAAGAAGAGAACGAAAGGAATTGGGAGGTAGAAAGGAAATATATGGATGTTGAGGAGAAGAAAAGAAGGGAAGAGGAGCAAGTGGAAAGGGGAGAAGGGGAGAAAAATTTCTGCCTAAGGACCCTTTCTGTCCTCGCAGGTCAAACTCCAGAGGCCCCATGGAATACCCTGGCCTGGGGGCCCTGGGGACCTCAGAACCCATGCCTCAGTTTGTGGATCCTGCCTTGGTGCCCTCTACACAAGAGTCAGGGGTCTTCTTCCCCTCTGGGCCTGAGGGCTTAGATGCAGCAGCTTCCTCCACTGCTGCAAGCACAGCCACTGCTGCAGCTACTACACTGGCCTACTACAGGGACACTGAGGCCTACAGACACTCCCCAGGTAACTCCATTGGGTGTCTGTCTTGTCATTGGATAGGATGCTGTTGGGGTTGCCATGGTTAGTTAGGTCAGAATCCCACTGAGAAGTCATCTTAATAATGACTGGAGCTTTCTCTGTGAATGTGCTAAAACTTCTCCCTAGTTAGTCCTGGGAATTCCAGTGCTCTTCAACTTGCCACATTGGGGCAGCCATTTGGAAAAGTAGGTTGGAAGAATGTGATGGCGCCCTACCTCTCAAGTGATCCAGGAGACTCCAAATCCCAACATCAGTCTTCAAAACGCATTTGGTAATGGTTGGATGTTACTGATGTTGCTGTGGTGACCAGTGGGTCTCAATCCAAGAATCACCCAATGGCTGGCAATTATTTTGGTCGCCTATGGAAAGGTTAGAATCCTGGCTATCATGTTGGAACTGTTGGACAACATTGCACCTTGAAAGGTCGGATGACCTTCGATCTCTCTCCTTCTTACCTCCTCCCTTTCCTTCCCCACCCTATAACAGTCTTTCAGGTGTACCCACTGCTCAACTGTATGGAAGGGATCCCAGGGGCTTCACCCTATGCTGGCTGGGCCTATGGCAAGCCGGGGCTCTACCCTACCTCAACTGTGTGCCCCAGTCGTGAGGACTCCCCTCCTCAAGCACCGGAAGATCCAGATGGGAAGAGCAACACCAGCTTCCTGGAGACCTTGAAAACAGAGAGGCTGAGTCCTGACCTCTTGACCCTGGGGCCTGCATTGCCTTCATCTATCCCTGTCTCCAGTAGTGCTTATGGGGGTCCTGACTTTTCTGGTCCCTTCTTTTCTCCCACTGGGAGCCCCCTCAATTCAGCAGCTTATTCTTCCCCCAAGCTTCGTGGAAGCCTTCCTCTACCTCCTTGTGGTAAGGGTTTCAAAAAGGGACTGGGAGGTTGAAGTGGGGGGGGGGGGTAGCCCAAGACAAACTTAAACTGAGCCTCTCTCTTTTGCTCTCCCCAGAGGCCAGAGAGTGTGTGAACTGTGGAGCAACAGCCACTCCACTGTGGCGTAGGGACAGGACCGGTCACTACCTATGCAACGCTTGTGGCCTCTATCACAAGATGAATGGGCAAAACAGGCCCCTCATTCGGCCCAAGAAGCGCCTGGTAAGAATGTAGGCCTGTCCCACCTGTACAGGAGCTGCTGCTCTTACCTGTGCAAGAGCTTGTTCCCACCTGGGACAAGAACCCACATCCTCTCATCATGTGGGAATCCATGTTTTCAGATATACAGGAAACTACTGCCTGCCACCCTACATAGGAACCACTGTGCTAACACTATATAAAACTTTTGCCCTTTTCCTATATAGGAATCCCTCTATCCTTTCCCCATTTGGAATCTTCTGACCCTTTCCTATACAGGGACTCAGCTCTGTACAGGGCCTCCCATCCTCAACCTGCCCATAGGGGCTTCAAGCAGAAACCCTGTCCTGGGTCCATGATTTAATTGTACTGGGGTGCTACCTTGGCGTGTGCATTAGTGTTGGGATGGAACAAAGAATAAGCAAGTGCTCTACCACTGAGCTACACCCATCCCCTGCCATAGAATTTTTTAAACTCCCTAAGTGATTCTGATATGCAGCCAAAGTTAAGAAACATTAATATAGTCCATTACAGAACACAAAACCAAAAAGTTCTATCCTGAACAGGAAATTCTGCCTCAATCTGTCCTCTACCTCTTTAATCCTCCTGACAGGGCCTATGAGACCCTGATACCTTAGGGATTGAAGCCACTGAGCTGCATCCCAGCCCTTTTTACTTACTCTGAGACAGGATCTTGCCAAGTTGTTGAGTTTGGTTTTGAACTCACAATCCTCCTGCTTCTGCCTCCTGAGTCACTGGGATTAATTAAGCATGTACCACCATTACAGGCTAATACCCCCCACTCTCTCTTCTCTCTCTCTCAGTTTGTACTAAGGATTAAACTACCACTGAGTTATAGCCTTAGCTCTTCTTTTTTTGTATTTTGAGATGGGGTCTCGCTAAGTTGCCCAGGCTGGCCTTGAATTTTCAATTTTTCTGCCTCAGCCTCCTGAGTAGCTTGGGATTATAGGTGTGCACTACCATGCCTGATTCTCTGATTCCCTCTTCTACCTCCCAGGGCATTGATCTCACATTCTTTTGTCCTCCAGATTGTCAGTAAACGGGCAGGTACTCAGTGCACCAACTGCCAGACAACAACCACGACACTGTGGCGGAGAAATGCCAGTGGAGACCCTGTGTGCAATGCCTGTGGCCTTTACTACAAGCTACACCAGGTGATGCCATGCCCCTCAGAGCCTTTCCTGTTTTCCCATCTTCACACCATGCTTCCCAGCCTCAAGCAGTTTTGTTCTACCCTGAGCCCTCTTTACTCCTCAGAACACTATCTAATCTCTCTTCCTTCTTTCTCCACCTTCCCCTTTTCCTTCCTTGCCCTTTATTTCTTTCTTCCCTCTTCTCTCCTCTTTTATATCTTCTTTTAGCCTTCTCCATTCCCTCCTTCACTCTTCTCCTTCCCTTTCACTCCCTCCTTAATCTCCAGTCTCTTTCTTCTAGTCTTAAGCTAACTTCCCCACCCCTATTCTAGGCCTTGGGTAGTTCTGGAGGCTTTGCCAAGCTCAAGAGTCTAACAACCTTAGGATTCCTTAGGATGATATATCTGCCAGCCCAGGGCCACACTTCCCTAGTCCTTGAACCAATTTCCTTTTTTTTTTCTTTTGATACTGGGGTTTGAACCCAGGGGCACTTTACCACTAAGCCACATCCCCAGCACTTTTTTATTTTGAGACAGGGTCGCAATAAATCACTGAGTACCTTGCTAATTTGCTGAGGCCAGCTTTGGACTCCTGACTCTCCTGCCTCAGCCTCCAGAGCCACTGGGATTACAGGTGTGCACCACTATACCTGGCTACAATTGCCTGTTCTTAAAGAAGCTGGGTAAAGCCGGGCACCGTGGCACATGCCTGTAATTCCAGCCTCTCAGGAGGTGAAGGCAGATGATCACAAGTTCAAGATCTGCTTCAGCAATTTAGTGAGGTCCTAAGCAATTTATCAAGACCCTGTCTCAAAAATAAAAAGGGCTGGAGATCTGACTCAGTGGTTAAGTGCCCCTGGGTTCAATCCTTAGTACTAAAAAAATAAAAATAAAAAGCTAGGTAGAGAGGATGTCCCTATCGCAGACACCTTAAATGAAGCTGAAAAATCTCTGTTGACCTTCCTTTCGGCAGGTGAACCGACCACTAACCATGAGAAAGGATGGTATTCAGACTCGGAACCGCAAGGCATCTGGAAAAGGGAAAAAGAAGCGGGGGTCAAGTCTAGGAGGAGCAGGAGCAGCTGAAGGACCAGCTGGTGGCTTCATGGTGGTGGCTGGTAGCAGTGGTAGTGGGAATTGTGGAGACGTAGCCTCAGGCTTGACACTGGGTCCTCCAGGCACTGCTCATCTCTACCAAGGCCTGGGCCCTGTGGTACTGTCGGGGCCTGTTAGCCACCTCATGCCTTTCCCTGGACCCCTGCTGGGCTCATCCACAGGATCCTTCCCCACAGGCCCCATGCCTCCCACCACCAGCACCACTGTGGTGGCTCCACTCAGCTCTTGAGGGCACAGAACATGGCCTCATGGGGGAGGGGTGGTGGCTCTCTCCTGTTGCAGCCAGCACTCTATACAACCCAACCCTCTGGGCCCCAGTCATCACCTGCCTGGATTTTCAAATATTTTGTAAAATAAAACCACCAAAGTCCTGAAATTGGAAGTGTGAGTCTGTTTGTAACTGAATAAGTGTCAGTGGTAAATGTGGTGTCTGTGGTTCTCTGATGACAGTGTCCAGCCGTCATGTATGACTGTGTGAGCCTGGGTGAGATGGCATGTGATACTTCACAACTGAAAGTTATAATGTACAAATGTAACAGTGTATATAAGACTTTGTGGACAGCATCTATGTGGGTGGTTCCATCTATCATGGTAAGATGATGTGACCAGCTAACTGTAGGATGAGATGGTGTGAGATGGCATGTGTGACAATGGGGGATGGGATGACAGTATGTGGAAGTGTGTGGGGCTGTGGTAATGTGGCTGTGTGTGACTTTGATAATTGAGACAGTGTGACAGCATACATGTCGGGGACAGAATCTGATCAACAAAGATCTTTGGAATATTGAGCAAGAACTGCATATGGACGGCATGTGACTGTGGGGATATATATGTCTGAATGTCTTTTTGGATTTGATAATGGCAGTATTTCTCTGCCAGTCTCTGAGCTTGTGTGTGGGTGTGCATGAGTGTGCATACTGTGTGGCATGTGCCATAGCATAGTGTCTCTGAGTGGCTGACAATGTGAGCAGCTCTGTATACATTTGCATAGTTTCCCATGGTGTAAGTTAGGGACCCTCTTCTGAGGACAAAACACCCAGCCTTCAGGAAAGGAAAGGGGGACAAGGGTGGAGCCAGAATGGTAGCTACCAAGGTCAGAAGACCAATACTAGAGCCTGGAGTAGTCCTTGGTTTCCCTGTCAGTCACCTCTTATCTGTCTCAGTCTAGCACTGGCTGCAGCCCTGTGGAAAATGGAAGAGAATAAGGGGTGAGATTAGGAGGACAAAATAGCTGTTGGAGATAGTATTTAGACCCTGTAGGTGAGGAGCTCCACATAGTGCCAACTCCCTCTCCAACACTCCTACTCACCCAGGTGAATGGCTCTCCCCAAAGTGACATCTGTTCTTTGATCTTAAAACACATAGGTGCATACTCTGAATTGGGGAACATCCTAAGGCATATAGGTAAAGTGGCTCTCCCAAGACCACAAAGCTTGGCAAGGGGCTGAGCCAGGAGTCTGTCCCACAGTCTGTCTCAGCCTCTCTCCTAACTAGCCACTTCCCATGCCAAGCAGCACCATTTCTACAGTGCTCACCATGGGTCAGGCAACAGGCTGGGAGGCTTGGGTACCTTCAGTTAATTTACCTGAAGGTAAATTAACTGAAGGAAATTGAGGAAAGGATATTCATACTCATTTTACTAATGAAAAAGTGAAGTTCAGAACTAACTGATGAGTACCTTGCCCTGACCGTACCAAGTTTAAGGAGTAGAATTTGGATGGGGTAACCCACAGCCCCCACCTCTACCCTACAAGTGTTTCTCAATATGTGATTGAGCTACTTCTCCATAGCTTCTCCCCTAGAGCCCCAGAAATGAGAGATGCAGGGGTCCACAGATCCCAAGCACATTATGGAGAAGCAGTTGTCCTCCAGGAAACTCTACCATCAGCTAGATGCCACACTATTGCCACTGAGTAGCCCACTGAAGAATCACAGTAGTCTATGAACCTTGCAGGAACTGCAGAATGGCCCTGACCCTATAAAAGCTGCCCGGTAGGCCATCAACAGAAACCCAACTCACACACTGCAACTCCACTCAGAACTGGTGCTGAACAGGTTCTGGTCCCACTCTGCTCAGGGTCCCCCAGCCTCATCCCTTATAGAAACAACTACTCTAGCCTGGTTTAGGAAGCTCTCTCAAAAACTCTAAGGGAAACCTACCTCTAATTATCAACAGAAAACGGACCCTGATCCTAGACAGGTACACCAGTCCCCACCTTGTAGAGGAGAACCCTATCTTCCTGCAGTAGAGGAACCCCTGCCTAAGTCCAGTTAGGAATCTCAGAAGGCACACTGTGTGGAAGCCTCTGCACCACCCTGGCAGGGATACCTCCTGTCCTGGCCTTTTATATGAGCACCAATCTCTCTTAGGAGTCCTGTATGGACCTTTGGCAGGGATACCTGTCCTTGAGCTGGGCTGCAGCCCTTCCCTCCAGGAAGCATTTTATTTTTGGTACCAGGGATTGAACTCAGGGGCACTTACGCACTGTACCTCATCCCCAGCCCAATTTCATATTTTATTTAGAGACAGGGTCTCACTGAGTTGCTTAGCACCTCGCTGTTGCTGAGGCTGTCTTTGAACCCTTGATCCTCCGTCTCAGCCTCCCAGCCACTGGGATTACAGGAATGCACCTGTGCCCAGCAAGCATTTTAGATACACTTTGCCCACAATAAACTGACTTCTAAACCACATCCCTGAATCTTTTTCTACAGAAGTTCCTACTCTCAATTCCTTCAGGAAATATGACTGCATGTGGAAAACCTTGCCTTCACTGTTGGCAATGAACCCTGATATTACCCTGTACAACAATCCCATATCTTTCATCTTACCCTGTGGTGTCTGCATAAACTTGGATTCCAACTTGAAATATGAACCTCAGTCAAGAATGTTTATAGAAAACCCTTTCCTGATCCACATGGCAGGAATACCTGTGCTGACCCTCTACTTTGAGCCCTGAACTGTCCTGTATAGGCACCTATGGCTTCCCCTGACATGGGACCCCTGCCCACTGCATGACGTTCATGTGCTGAGGTTTTGTAGAAAGCCTGACCCTACAACTGTACTAGGACCTCTGAGCTGACTTCCTTTAGAAAAACTTTCCAGAACCTCAAAAGAAATCCTTCATTGGAATTTCTGATCTGATCTGTTATAGGAACTCCCACCTTAACTCTCTAGAAATAGTCTCCTGACCCTGAACAGGAAACGCTGATAGGATTCTCTGTAATAGCCCTTGCCCTGACCTTGCCCTGGCAGTCCTTCTCTCACCCTTCACAGGAAACACTGTCCTGACCTAACAGAAGAAACACTAACCTGAATCTCTGAAAGAACCACAGTTGTAACTCTGCACAGGACTCCCCTCTGACTCCCAACAAGGACCTATACCTTGAACTACTACAGAAGCCTGTCCTTAAAATCAACAGGAACCCCCCCCCCACACACACACACACACACACATTTGTCTCTTTAGAGAAATTCAAGAAATAAACCAGTGAATAAAATCACCCAGATTGTAGGGGAACCTGTTTTGTTTTGTGGTGCTGGGAATGGAACCCAGAGTCTTGTACTTGCTAGGCAATCGCTCCACCACTGAGCTCCACCCCCCCAGGCTCTCCCTTGCGTGTAGATGTGATAGAGTTTTGACCAGTAAAGTGTGGGCAGAAGTGACACACCATTTCCAGCCCCAGTTCATAGGAACCTCTCTCATGCAATTCTCCATTTCCTCTCTTTCTCTGTCAACTAAGCAGTGAGAACTGCAAGGACCTAGAGGACAGCAGAGTCACAAAATGGAAGTTCCCTGGATCCATGAATGACTAGTAATAAATATTCCAGTGGGATTTTGAATGAGCAAGCAATATACATGTATTTAAGTCCCTGAAGTTCTGGGTTGTTTGGTACAGTAGCTAGCATATTTTATTTAGTTTAACTCACAATACTCTCTCAATCTGAATCTGAACATGAACACCTGACTTTTTTTCCTTCAGTATGGAGGATTGAATCCAGGAACACTCTACCACTGAGCTACCTCACTGTCCTTTATTTTTGAGACAGAGTCTTACTGAATTAATGAAGCTGGACTCAAATTTGTAACCCTCTTGCTTCAGCCTCCTGTGTAGCTAGAATTACAGGCATATGCCACCGTGCAACAATGCCACACTTGAACACTTGATTTTTCTTATTGGTAGCAAGGAGTGACCCAGGGGTGCTTAACCACTGAACCATATCCCCACGCTTTTTATATTTTTTGAGACAGGGTCTCACTAAATTGCCTACAGCTTCACTAAGTTGCTGAGGCTGGCTTTGAACTCACGATCCTCCTGCCCCAGCCTCCTGAGCAGCTGGGATTACAGGTGTGTGTCACGGTGCCTGGCTTGAACACCTGATCTTCTGGGGTTTTTTTGTTGTTGTTGTTCTTATTGTGTGTGTGTGTGTGTGTGTGTGTGGTGCTGGGGATTAGAACCCAGGGTCTTGTGCCTGCAAGGCAAGTATTCTACCAACTGGGCTATATCCCCAGCCCAGAACACCTGATCTTAATGTCTCTGTGAACACAAACTCTGAACTTGTATAAAAACACCTAGGCTAACCTGGTAGGCAGCTGTTATAATGCAGTCTAAGAAGCCTCATACTCAACTTGCATAGGAACCCATAGGCTGGAGCTCTCTAGAAACCGTGGTCTTGTCCAGTATAATAAACCCCTGCTTGATTCAGTAAATAACAACACTAGAAGAATTCCTGTCCTCACTGTATCCAGGAACATTTGCTTGGTCCAGTAGAGGAACAGCAGAGGGGACCCTGTCAATGAATCCCTGTCTTCACACCTGCACAAATGGAATACCTCTCCTCAGGAAAAATGGAACTCTTACCTTAACTCTGTAAAAAAAAAAAAAAATCCCAGCCAGATAAAGGAAATCATGGACTGAAAGTCTACAAAGCCAAAGTGAGGTCTGTTTTACATTTAAAGGGGTTGTTCAAAAGTAAAAGAAAAGATGGGCTGGGGTTGTGGCTCACAGGTAGAGTGCTTGCCTAGCAGGCGTGAGGTCCTGGGTTCAATGCTCAGCACCACATAAAAATAAAGTTAAGGTGTTGTGTCCCCTACAATAAATAAATAAATAAATAAATAAATAAATAAATATCTTTAAAAAGTGAAAGAAAAGAATAGCTGGGCATGGTGGTGTGTACCAGTAGTCCTAGCCAGTTGGGAGGCTGCGGCAGGAGGAATTTCTGATCTTGAGCCCAGGAGTTCAAGGCCAATTTGTGCAACACTGTGAAATCTGTCTTGGAAAAAGAGAAAGTAGGACAGGAACAGAGAGAGATAGAGATATAGAAAGACGGGGGGAAGGGATGTGCCATTGAGACTTACAGGTGTCATA